CGGCAGGCTTATATGCATCTTTCGATCAATGAGCGGACGATGTTTGCAGAACCATTTGAGAACGTTACCACCTTCAACGTGAACTGAAAAACGACTAAGAGTGCCATCGTGTTTGACATTGTCATTTTTGATCGTTTTAGTATACACTGATCGAATTCCACTCCGATAATCGGACTTAGTATAGTTTTGAAGAAAATATTAATCGGACCAATGTATACATTTTGATTAATAATAAAATGCATAAAATTTAATCAATATTAGTTTTGTAATATTTTTGAGTGTATACACAGACCCTAAATTTAAGTTCTTTTTACTTAATTTTGGGTAATTTTGAGTTTGCATCCCACTCTCACTTTTTGTTGTTGTAAAAAACGGAACGAGAGATACGACTTTCTCATGACTACACTGTAACTGGTGACTACCCATTAATGGGTGAAAAAGTACCCATTTTGTGGTAGTGTATGGAGCTGTCAAAAAATGCGTAAATGAAAATTTCAAATAATGGGTACTTTTTCACCCATTTCCGAAACCTGTTCAGGGATCAAAAATGAGTACATTTTTACCCTATATTGGGTGAAAAATATCTTTGTTGCTCGGTAACGTTGCTGGTATACTTGGTGTGCCTTGTCGAGTGCCTTTGTTCCGTTTTAGTAAAAAAGTGATAAATATGTGAAAATCTTCCTTGGAGGAGTCTACAGACTTCGAAGCAGAACTAGCGGCTACGATAATTCGATGTATCTCGGTAATAAATCCATTACACTAGATTTTGCTTTTGTTTAAAAGAGGTTCATTTTTTTTTGCAGGATGCTGAAACACCTTTACAAGAACAATTCGACAGTGAGCATTCATAAGGGCGTATACGCGATGATCGATTCTCTTCATCGATTTTCTCTTTTGTTAATAACTCGCTAGATTTAACGTTTGTCGGTGCGTTTGCTGTTGCTTTTGATAGCCAATGCAACCTGTTACAACTCTACATTGAATAAATTCTACAAAATTGTTGCGCTTAGCTGTAGCAATGCAAAGAGAAAATCGATGAAGAGAATCGATCATCGCGTATAGGCCCTTATGCATGCTCACTGTCGAATTAATGAAGTATGTTGCCTGGAATGTCGATGCTAACGTTGATGTGGCGCCCCATCTGATTTTCAACGGGAACAATTACTTCATTTACGTTGACGCTCAACTCATCCACGGTGGAATTGACTCCATCCGCGCGCTGGACACTCTATTTAAAGTGTTCACTGTTTTCAACATTCGTCCGCCAGCAGAAGTGCAGAAAATTATTGATTTCATTGTATGGTTAATTTGCTTAACGACGTGTTCTGGGTATCATCCAAACCATTTGTGGAATATTTCAATGATTTGTGTTATCTTTCGCTTATGGTTATTTTTTATTAGGGGGGCCTTATTACGGGTGTCACTACACGGTGATAAGGAAGTGATACTCATAATAAGAGCCGTGATTGCCGTACAAATCAAATGGCAATCACTTCACCGTGACGACAAGTGACAAGTTTTCACCGTGAAGTGACATCCGTAATAAGCCCCCATATGTTATGGAATCACAACGACCAGCTCCCGTCAGATAGTCAATCGTTTGGTTTCATCGTTGTTTTCATAAATTATTGCAATGATGTTCAATAAAAACCAAGTTCAGTAATCTGTAGTTTCTATTTTATTGATTGATTTTAAAATAATTGCTAATTCTCAAATTTCAGATTAAGTCCCATCAATATATTTAAAAAAGGGGTACTTTTTACCCAGTTACGGAAAACAATGCTTTCTGGAAATGGGTAAAAAGTACCCCATGAATTGACGTATAAGCTCTTTACCCATTAGTGGGTAAAGACGTTTTACCCATTTTATGAGTTTACCTACTTTACCGCGAAATGGGCACTTTTTCACCCATTAATGAGTACTTTCCAGTTACAGTATCTTATATACTCACTAGTAGCTTATTGAACGATATATCGTTCAATAAGCTACTAGTGAGTATATAAGATAAATATTCTCAAATTTGAGTCAATTGAACTTAATTTTGGGTAGAAAATACTCACGAGTAAGTAATTATTTTTGCCGTAGTCCAATGTAAACTACTACACAGAAAAACAAAACTACCCACCGCTTGGGTTTTTTAAACTCAAATTTGAGTTATTTGACCTCTGCCCGTTTCATTTCCTCTCGCTATTGTTGTCAAAAATAGAACGAAAGATTCGACTCAACCGTCTAGTTCCGTACGAGAATCCAAAATTGAGTAATATGCGATATACCCAAATTTGAGTTAATTGAACTTAATTTTGGGTAGAAAAAATTGAAAATAACTTAGCGATGGGTAATTTTTTTTGCCGTCCTCAAATGCAAACCTGCACTCAAAATAATCTACACGTTGAAGCTACGTGAAAAATCACGTAAGCTCTCAATTTTTCCTCTCCTCTCAATTTTACGTGACTCACGTAGAATGTATGTGATGTCCCTAGAATTTCACATGGAGTTCCTTTTTAACACACCTACATAATCAATGAAATGTACATGATTTTCCCATAACACTGAGTCTATGTGCATTTCACGTAAAGCTTATGTAATTTCCACATCTAAAAAAAGGGTGGTACGTACACTCAGAGCGCCGCAAATCATGGCGGCACCATGATGTGCTTTTGTTTAATATTCGGTGGTGGCAAGATGTAAGTATATGGATTATTTTATTCTATTTAACAAAAACAAGCTGTCTGTTTCATCGTGCTCAACAGAATGATGTCAAACTGTCCATCAGTTTCTTCCTCTAAGGAAAAAAATATTTCGGCTCATCTCTATGATCGTCCAGATTGTTTGTGCTGTGTATCGAATGAAAATTAAAAAAAATCAATGTGGTCTATTTAAAATATTTGAATAAATTAAAGAAATATTATTAAATTATACTATTATGAATACAGCAAAGATTGTATCTACATATTAAGGAAATATTTGTATGAACAGTGTCAAAATATTGATACTAGAATCCTCCAATGAATGTCACAAACCAAATCACGTAACTTCTATGTGATAATCCTGTGACGGTTAAGCTTCATGAAAAGAGTGCCACTACATGAGAATCACGTAGCTCTTATGTGAAAAGTACGATGGAAAACCCGCATAAACGCGAACCATAAATTGACCTTACCTAAAATGGTTAAAAATTGTTTATAATCCATGCTAAACTTCAACTGAAATGGTTATGGAACTTTACATGAACGTTTAATGATAAAGTTTCAACCTTATGTATTATGGTTTTTTGGAACTGGACCTTACAAATAATGGGTTGTTAAGAACCATTACCGTTCCAAATTCTTGTTTTCTCCATACATTTTCGGAAAGAGAACTATATTAGAACCTTTTAACTTATGGTTTGAGAACTTTAATGGTAATGGTTATGGTATTCAGTAAGGTCCACGAATGGTTTTGTAACATCGATCAACTTTATGTGGAATATATCGCGAATTGGTTGCCTGTAATTTACTGATTACCAATTCACGATATATTCCACGTAAGGTTGAGCGATAATACAAAACCATTAATGAACCTTACTGACTACCATAACCATTACCATTAATGTTCTCAAATCATAAGTAAAAACGTTCTTATATAGTTCTCTTTCTGAAAATGTATGGAGAAAACAAGAATTTGGAATGGTAATGGTTCTTAACAACCCATTATTTGTAAGGTCCATTTCCATAAAACCATAATACATAAGGTTGAAACTTTATCATTAAACGTTCATGTAAAGTTCCATAACCATTTCAGTTAAAGTTTAGCAGGGATTATAAACAATTTTTAACCATTTTAGGTAAGGTCAATTTATGGTACGCGTTTATGCGGGAAAATCTACGTATGTTTTCACGTAGCAATTACGTGAAAATTATTCTGAGTGTGGGTACTGCGGAGTCGACCAATTTTATTTTGCAAGCCAATGTAAAACTGCTTGAAAATTTTCTCAAGTTTAAAATTGGTTTGCTCTTTCTCAGTTGATTCCCGCCAAAAGCTCTGAGCCAGGAGTGCTCGAGCCCCCATGACTCTATCAAAGTTTGTTTACATACATGTTTCGCCAAAGTATGTTTTACTGTAATTGAAAACTCAACTGCCTCATAAAAACTATGCTGGTTTTTATACTTTCATCACTAAGCCTGTTGGTTTTTATTTTTGAGCTTAAAATTAAGAATGTGTTATGAAAAAGTATAGATCATTTTTATGAGATTTCAATGCATGACGGTACACAGAAATTCAAAACAACCCAAAATTAAGTTCTTTTCACTCATCTCCCATGTTCCGTACGATAAGCCAAATTTGGGTAAACCGGCTCAAAGTAGTTTGCATTTAAGCACGGCAAAAAAAATTACCCATCGCTAAGTTATTTTCAATTTTTTCTACCCAAAATTAAGTTCAATTAACTCAAATTTGGGTATATCGCATATTACTCAATTTTGGCTTCTTGTACGGAACTAGACGGTTGAGTCGAATCTTTCGTTCTATTTTTGACAACAATAGCGAGAGGAAATGAAACGGACAGAGGTCAAATAACTCAAATTTGAGTTTAAAAAACCCAAGCGGTGGGTAGTTTTGTTTTTCTGTGTAGATAAAAACAGTAACTGCATTTGCTGCTGCTGAATGTTTGGCTCCCGCTTGACAGTTCACACTGGCTCCCAAGTGACAAGCACCTTGAGTGAGTCCGCAGTACTCAGATGCAAACTACTTTGAGCCGGTTTACCCAAATTTGGCTTATCGTACGGAACATGGGAGATGAGTGAAAAGAACTTAATTTTGGGTTGTTTTGAATTTCTGTGTGGGAGATGAGTGAAAAGAACTTAATTTTGGGTTGTTTTGAATTTCTGTGTATAAGTGGTTTACTGAAAATTAGCTTATTGAACGGAACATGGGAGATGAGTGAAAAGAACTTAATTTTGGGTAATATTTCGGTTCCGTGTATCATTATTGAGTATTTTACAGTTACTGTGCGTTACCGCTTTTCCCGGTTTTCATCTATAAGAGGTTTTCATAGCTCTAAAGTAATAATAATTAATCAATTATTATTGATTATTTTTATCAAGATTTACGACAACAAAAACCACCGAAATGCAATCCTCCACCGAAAGGTATTTGACAACAACACGGTAAATATTTATGATCAGTTCCAAACAAAACGTCTTTCGCTGTTTCAGAGACAATATCGAATTCGGTTTGCCACTGGCCTGTAGCTTTAAGCAACTTGTGAACAACGCACACCTTGCAGATATCCGGTTCAAGGTTGGCCAATGCGGAGAATTGATTTACGCGCACAAGCTGATCATCGCAATGGCCAGCGAAGTATTTTATACGCAGTTTTACAGGGGGTTTGCAGAATCTCAATGCGATACTCTTACTAATCCGGTTGCAATAGACGATATCGAACCGGCCCCATTTCTGGAACTACTGCGATACATTTATTGCAGAGAGGTCAACATTCTACCTGGCAACATGTTGGATTTATACTACGCTTCGGAAAAGTACATGTTGAGAAAGCTGGGTATGATGTGCGAGAACAAGTTCTACCTGCTGATAAACGCAACCACCGTACTGAAGGTACTTCAGCATAACCGACGATATGAGTTCCCCGCAGTTGATACTTTGTGCTTGGAAATGATCCGCGATAATCCGCTGAAGTATTTTAAGCAGGAAGAATTCCTAACTCTGAGCCAGCAAGCACTGAAGCTGATTGTCTCCAGCCCTGTGATGAATTGTAACAAGGACCAGTTGGTTCTGGCGATCGAACAATGGGAGCAGTGCAACGAAAAGACTGAAATTGATGTTCAGTTGCATAAGACGTTTTGCCGAAAACTCTACTTTTATAATAAATGTGCTTACAGTTCCAACATTGACACACGTTTCGTACTAAATCCATTCCAGAACAAAATCATTGCGCTGCACGGAATGGGCATCTATGTGGGCGTAGAGAACGATTCCCCTATGCCTAATAGTACAGTCACTGTAAGCGTGAATCTCAATGGATTCAATATCAAGGAGACGTTTCCAGTTTTGGATGAATTGAAGATTTATGAGATAATCTTTGAGAAGCAGTTGATCGATAAACAATGCGAGATCAGTGTAACAGTAGTCCAGCAAGGCTGTGAAGAGCAGTACGAAATGTTTCATCTTCAGGGATGGTATACGATGGACGAAACAATGGTGACGGTCGCAGGCTGTGCAGGTACACAACATATAGGTTACCGCCACAGCAGTTACAATTATGGTTCAACATCGGTGATCAATTGCGTAGCATATTTGTTATGTGTAAAAACATATGTTGATAAACGCTGAAAGTCTGCTTGAAAATCAGCTCCATGGGACACCCGTATTCTCGTTTTCGTTCGAACTGTTTTTCCATACAAAAAAGAAGGTTCGAACGAAAACAAGAATATGTGTGATTATAATGACTAACTGCTGTTAATATGCAATGATTGTTATCGTTCTTGAATAAAACATGGATTTACAAAATCATTCGGTCTAATTTTTCTCCGCTGGACAAAGGACAATGAAGGGCAATACCGAAACTGCACGGGTTATCAAATACTTTTATTAAGACAATCTGTAGTAAATCACCAATACGTACAATTAGGGATTCTTTCCGGGCGTCATACAGTTCCCATCGGGGTAGCGTTTCTGAAACGAACTAATCAATTCTGGATCCACAAGGCGAATCCCGTCCAGCTGGTTACCGAGTGTTATCCTGCGGGTAAAAACAAAATTCAAAATCCAGTCCGCTGCAATCAATCCAAAGAACTAACCAATTGGGCTGCACATTGTGCGGTCTGCCGAACAGTTCGATCTTCCTCGTACCGGGGCTCAGGCGCTCGATGATCCCATAAATTTCATCCGGCTTGTGGCTGGTCGCGCGCACTTCGGCAACGATCACATCGCAATCCAGCCCACGGTTCAAGTTTGGCGGATTGCCCTTCATGCCAACCAGGCAGTGCTCTTTGCCATGATTCAACCAGTGGCCGGTCCGACCGGTGCGAATTATTCGCTGCAGTTGATTGGTTTTCACCCAGATCAGCTCGTCTACACGTTCGTAGCCCCACAGCTTGAGACACTCCCTACCCAGTTCCATCGCACGGCCGGTGACCCAAAGAAATATCAAGCCATCATCCTGCAACGCCGGAACCCCCAACTGTCTCATCTCGTCGTCGGACATCGTTCCGTAAGGAAGTTCCATGTGAATATCCCAAGGCGGATCGGCCATCACCACGGCAAACTTTCCCAGTACGGTCATGTCCAAGTAACGCAGGTCACATTGGATCCACTGAGGCGGATACAACGTCGCACAGGGGTCAATTGTTCGCTTGGAAGCCAACGAACCTTCCCCTTCGAACTTTGAACCGGTATTCTGACCAACGTACGTATCCACTTCATAGTGCACGTACTTACACGTGTCCATGTGGAAGCACGTATTCAGAAAACTGCAATCTCCCAACGACTCATCCGTATGCGATTGAATAATCTTTTTGAAGTGTAACTTGTTGCACTGGAACTTGCCCTTCTCGTCGTCCTGCTCCTTTTTAATCTCGACAATCTCAAACCCATTATTATCGTCACTGATGATAACGTCATCGTCGTCTTCGCTTTTGAGCAAAGCATCGTTCGCAGCCTCCAGCGAGCGCAAACATTCGATCCTGGTTCCGTGGGGGCAGAATTCCATCACTTGCGCTCCACCTTGCGATTTGAACTTTTCCGCCAACGAACGCTCCTTGGCCGTTGGTTTTGTCAGCAGTTCTAGAATCTCCTCCCCGACCTGCTTGCTTTGCTTCTCCCTCGTCGAGGGCAGCGACAGCAACGACATAATGTCCGATGTACTGCTCAGCGAGCTGGATTCCCCAGGTTTTTTCGACAATTCCTCCTTCACCGAACTCGAACCCAAACGGGCCATCTTCGCGTCGGAATCCATCTCCTCCTTGATCGCTTTCCGCTTGGTTGCTTCCCGTTCGCTTTGATTGAGAAGCAAATTATCGTACAGCGACTGCAGGTTGCCATACTCGGCGGAAGTGATCTCGTATCCGACCGTACCACCGATGCTCACTTCCTTAATATTGACCAGGTTCTGCCCGGACAGCTTCTGTAAACAGCACAGAATCGATTCGTTCGGGGTGAACTTTTGAATCAGCTTCTCCACCCGCTGCGCTATCTGGGACGAGTTGGTGGGAAGAATCAAACTGCGATCCGCCAGCACTTTTACCAACGTCCTCTCCACTTCGGAATCGATGTCTACAATCGTAAGACGTCACTTTTATCGGTTCTGCATCAATTATGAATCGAAACTTACCTTGTTCCATCTTGATGGCCGTGAGCAGAATCTTGCTCTTGTCGTCGACTCCGGTGACGCCGGCCTCGGTTTTGATCATACCCACCACACTCGGGCCGGGGCTACTTCCGCCGAGCAGATCCTGGCGTTCCTTCTTCCGTTTCTCCAACCGCTCGCGCAGGGTGTTCCGTTTTGCCTTGAGGGCGTGAATTTCCTCCCAGGAGGACATTTTTCCGGTGTCTACGAGTAAAACTACTAATGGAAAAACCGCTATTCTGTTGTTTACGCACGAAAGTACAAAAATGCAACGCGTAAACAAGGAAGTGACAGTTTGACAGTTGGAGTCGGTGCGCGCAAGATATATCCACTAAAGGGATGTTGATTCAGGCTCTGAACCATTTGGAGGATTATTTTAACTTTTGGTTAAAATTTGACAGATGGAAAGTTATCGATTAACCTAGAGTCGGTGTATAATGAGTCACGCCAAGAGTGAAGCCAAGTCTACCTATTGAACAGTCAAACCGGCTACCTATCGTGCAAAGTAAACAAACATTACGATGCTATGAAAGGTCCACGAAAGGTATTGCAATTAAATATAAAATATAATCGAAGAAATGATCATATACACGCAGTGAGCATTACATTTGTCATGCGATACGTTTTGTAATTATCAGTAATGACAATTTCTACTATTTTTCTTTAAGATAATTCGACAAAATCACTGATATAATGATTTACTACAGCCGTTATTTTTTTTCCTCGCTAGAAGTCATTTGAAGTTGATGCAGAAGTCCTCTGTTGCCAAGTTAAAAGAAAGGGAATCTTTCGAAATCCGTGATGCGAGTTCAACTGTTTTTCTCTTGGCGTGACTCATTATACACCGACTCTAGATTAACCCTGCTATCTGAGCGTGGTTACTTCTGACAGACAAGCAGTTAAATTTTGACGACCGTGGCTCGAAAACCGGTCGATCGACAGCACGGGGATTTTCGAACATAAGAAATAACTTTCGAAATGTCATTTTTAACCACGAGTTAAATTTAATTCCTCAAATGGTTCACAGCCTCAATGAGGTATATAGATAGAGGTTAACAAATCGTCAAATCCATGGCCGTATTAGAGCATCTCCAGTGCGGGCGCTAAACAGATTTATTTGTCGTCAATCAGTGTAGACCGAGGTTTCATGCCTATTACCGGTACCCAACGACTTCCACCGGGTATAGTTGGTATAGTCGCTGTACAGTCGAAATTTGCTGATTGGGCTTTTAATAGTTGGGTTGCTTTTTAGTTGGGCCTCCGCTGGTTGGGCTATGACCCAATTAAAAAGCAACTAGGTGTCAGAATCTCATGTCAAAATGGGTTTGACAATCAATCATAAATATGCGTTTGGGACCATGTTGGCACTAATCACTAATCAAGAATTTCATCGTAGCTCACATCAATGTGATGAATAGAGGTGTTATGATGACTGAAACAGACTACTCTTTCAAGCATTCAAGCAAGAGTAAGCTGATTTGTTCTGACGTACCTCCGTCAGTTTTACCGCTGTTACACAGAAGAAAAAAAGTTGTTGAATATTACATCCAAAGTGCTGCAACCATGTCAATTCATCGGTTGTGTACTTCCCGAATGTCGGGAAAGTTCAAAGATCTTCAAGAGAATATTCAGACACCTTCGTACATTTCAGGAAAATTTTGAAAACTTCATCGAAGATCTAGAGTAGTTTTAGGAGAACTTCAGAGTAGTTCCGACGAGAACTTAATTCTGATGAGAACTTCAGAGTAATTCTGAGGAGAACTTCAGAGTAGTTTTGAGGAGAAGTTCAAAGTAATTCTGAAGAGAGCTTCGAAGAAGTTCTGAGGAGAAGTTCAGAGAGTAGTTGTGAGGAGAACTTCAGAGTAGTTCTGTGGAGAGTTTGGTTTAGTTCTGAGGAGAACTTCAGAGTAGCTCTGAGGAGACCTTCAGAGTAGTTCTGAAAAGAATTTGCAGTGAATTTCTGAGAACTCCAGAGAAGTTCCATTGGCCTCAGGAAAATTTATGAAACTCCTCAGGAGCACCCGGAACATGTCTGGCCAGCGTGGTCAGTACTTAATATGGCCACTAATGTTCTCGTTTTTGAATTCTTATCGAGGGGGAGCATCTAGAATTGAGATTTAGATGTGTCGCCCCCCTCGATTCTTATGTAGTTTGATGTGTCACATGAGGATGTTGGTCGAAGTTTCACTTCTCCGGGGGGTATCCGGAACATGTCCGGATCGGGGCAACTTGGTCTTTCAGTACTTAATATGGATAAAACTGGTCATATTTTTGAATTCTTATGTAATTTGATGTGTCGCATGAGGGTGTTGGTTCAAGAAGAAACTGACCACTTCCTCGGAGAAACCCAGAACATGTCCGGATGCGACCAGCATTTTTCTGTCTACTTACTTTCTACCTTGGATGATTAATTGGTTCACGTCTTGAAGTTTGCTGGTGAATTTAAAATTACAAAAAAAAAACATTTGAAAAATTGAGCACTTCTCAGGTTGCCACTCAACCGCACCGAGTTTTTCCAAAATGTTGAAAACAAAAAAACTAGTTTTAGTACAATGCCGCTTTTGCCGCAACGCGCTCATTGTGGGTAGTCAAACGGATTTCAGTGTACTGAAAAACATGTGCTTGCCGCTATCATTGTGTTCAGCCCTTTAAAAATGGAACCGAAATTCAGAATTACAGCCAAAATCACCATCTTAGCACCCCTCAGTGAGACTTCAGATACATCATCTGAAAGAGCTTCGTTTTCTGAGCGCAATAATATTTTTTCGATCCCATAGACTTTCATCTCGATTTTTAAATCAAGATTTAAAGCAAAATCGACACTTAACTAACAAATTGACAGCTCGCTCCCCTACAAAGTCCCACCGAGGAGCGCTAAGATGGTGATTTTTGCTTGAAATTTTGTGTTTCGGATCCATTCTTAGTGCAGATCACGAATTACCTCAATACCCCTAAAGAACCCAACTGGATTTTTCAAAGCGATTTCTTCATTGGACATGCAATGAAATTTAAAGGATTTTGCTTCATAGGAGCTTTATGGGAGCGAGCTGTCAATTAACAGATTTAGTGTCAAAAATTAAATCTTGATTTAAAAATCGAGATGGATGTTTGGGATCGATATAAATATCGTTGTTCTCAGAAAACGAAGCTCTTTCAGATTATGTATAAAAATCGGGATGTTTTTTTGGAAATAAATCAACCCAATTGATCAGACCTAGGGGTCACTTGTCGTCACGGTGAAATGATTCCCATTTGATTTGTACGGTAATCACGGCTCTTATTCTGAGTATCACTTGCTTATCACCGTGTAGTGACACCCGTAATAAGGCCCCTAATAAAGAGCTAATAAACTATAGAGGAAGAATAGCGCAGCCGTCGCTGTCGAAACATCTTTTCCTTACATCTAATAGGGACACAACTGTCAAAGCGAGAAAAAAACTATGCAGTTTGACAGTTCTGTACCCGGTGGAACGTGGGAATTGGTTAACTTACCTAAGGGATGTAAGCCTGTCGGTTGCCGCAGGGTTTTCAAGTTGAAACGGAACGCAGCTGGTGAGGTAACCAAGCACAAGGCACGCCTGGTAGCGCAGGGTTTTTCCCAGAAGTACGGCGAAGACTACGATGAAGTTTTTGAACCGGTAACTACACACACACAACGCTTCGGTTTCTGTTGGCAACGGCGAGTAAGAGAGGAATGAGGTTAAAACACTTTGACGTGAAAACCGCCTACTTGCATGGCCAACTTGACCAAGAGTTGTACATGGTGCAACCACCCGGACACGTGGTAAAGGGCAAGGATAACATGGTGTGTCGCTTGAGGAGGAGCATTTACGGGCTGAAGCAGTCTGCTAGGTGCTGGAACAAGCGACTGGATTATGTTCTTCAGAGCATGGGATTCAAGCAAAGCACATATGATAGCTGTCTGTTCACGAAGATAGTGAAAGGGAAAAGGGTCTACTTGCTGTACATATACATATATGATATTCTCGTTGGTTGTGAGGAAGAAGCAGAAATTGAAGTGGTGTACGAAGCGTTGAAGAAGCAATTCGATATAACGGATCTGGGCGATCTGAGTTATTTCCTTGGCTTGGAAGTACATTGTCGTGCGCTACCTCAAGACGACTAAGGATTGGCGATTGCGGTATGACAGTACTGGTGGTGACCTGGTCGGATTTTCTGATGCGGATTGGGCTGGTGATATCCGTACCCAGAAGTCAACCACTGGTTTTGTGTACATGTTCGCTGGTGCCGCCGTTTCGTGGTGCAGTCGAAAGCAAACGAGTGTCACTCTGTCTTCGATGAAATCGGAGTATGTGGTGCTCAGCGAAGCAACTCAGGAATTGGTGTGGCTTGTGAATCTGCTCAAGGAGTTTGGGGAACCATATGAGGGTCCTGTAACAGTACTGGAGGACAATCAGAGTTGCATCACATTTGCGAGCTCCGAAACCAGAAGTATTGAAACCAGAGCGCATTACATTAGGCAGATGTGTAACGACAAGGTGTTGAACTTGAAGTACTGTCCGACGGAGCATATGGTAGCAGATGTGCTTACAAAACAAGCAGAAGAAGTTTGCTGAAATGATGGGATTGTTTTCAAGTGGTGACAGCATTGGTTGAGGAGGAGTATTGGAGAGGCAACAATCGTGCCACCCCTACAGTATACGTGTGGTGCGAGTACATCCCTATCGGTATGTCAGCAGGGTCGACTGCGTAGAACCATTTTTTTTATTCGTAAATGTGCTCTCGATGTGACAACATCTTAAGTCAATATATTCTTATTCGTATTCTAAACCTGGCCTTTCATTACACTGTAATCCTAAGTCCAAAAAGTATTTGGACAAGACACTGAAGAAGTCTGCACATTGTAGACGAAATACGTGTATCCGTCAAGGATAAGCAAATAAGGTAGTGGAATTCGACAGTGAGCATGCATAAGGGCGAATACGCGATGATCGATTCTCTTCATCGATCTTCTCTTTGCATTGCTACAGCTAAGCGAAACAATTTTCTAGAATTTGTTCAATGCAGAGTAGTAACAGGTTGTATCATAGAGGTAACTCTAAGACTAGAAGGTTCTGAAATAACATGCTCAATTTTTTGGCTCAGCTCTGGTACTCTCTTCGGTCCCAAGCTAATCGATCCACCCCTCGAAACATACGAAAAACCAATAACCCCTCTGTTTGTACAAAGCGTGTGCAAGTACCCTACCCAAATACTCATATCAACACACAAGTGCC